CCGAGACTGTGGCAGAGATCACCGCCAAGTTTCGGGAACGAGCACTGTTAATCCCATAGTATGTTATAGATGAGGATATGAGGAGGATGAGGTATCACTTCATGCTGAGGGATGATATCCGAGATTTTGTGAGATTTACAGTGTGTAAAACCCTGAACAAGATGGTGGAGAAGGCCCATGAGCGGGAGAATGAGTTGAAGTTCCGCACCAAGTGAAAACCAGAGCAAACATAGACAATTGTAGGTCAAGCTAAAAAGCCTAAGAACTCTAATTATTTTGTTAGGAGCCACCAGGGTCGTGGCCGATGTGCCAAGTGCGAGAGGTCACATGGAGGAGTTTGTCGGGTTCGGGCGCAATATGTTATACCTATGGTCAGCCCGTCCATGTGAGTAGGGATTGCCCCAAGAAGGGTTTGATCTGTTTCCACTGCAACTAGACCGATCATAAATGCCCGATTGTCCAAGGTTGCAAGGAGGAGGAGCAGTGGCGACGCCTGCGCCTGCCACATTGAGGATCACTGATGGCAGCCCTGCTAAAGCGGATGCTCCATCGGTTATGAGCCGCACATTTTAGTTGACTACCGGGGAGGCTCGAGCAACGCCAGACGTTATGGCTGGTATGTATTTATCTTATACTCTATATTGATTTGAATTGCTTATGTGTATACATTTGTGCTCATGTATAGGGACCTTTATAGTCAATGGTATGTCGGCTCGCGTTCTATTCGACTCGGGTGCTAACCGATCGTTTGCATCTCTTGACTTAGTAAGAAGTTTCGGGATTCGTTGGGGACGTTGGATTCCCCGCTTGAGGTTGATATTGCGGATGATCATAGAGTGAGTGCTGCGAGGGTACACTGAGATTGTCTCCTGAATGTGTTTGGGGAGAGGTTTCGGGTTGATTTGGTACTGATACCATTACGAGGACTGAAGGTAATCATTGGGATGAACTTGTTGCGGGGGAGGGGGTGGGGGGCAATGGGGCCATGATGGATTGCAAGTGTCAGTTGGTGAGGGTTCAAACCATAAGTGGGGGAGAACTGACTATTCACGGAGAGAGGGCCTCGTATGGGCCAACCCTATGTTCGGTTGCAAGAGCTAGGAGACTTCTCCATCAGGGTTGTTTGGGATTCTTGGTGTACATCTCAGATACTAGGGTTGAGCCTATGATAGATTTTGGTAGTGTGGCAGTTGTACGAGATTTTCAGGACATCTTTCCCGAAGAGTTGCTAGGGGTGCCTCCTGATAGGCAAGTAGAGTTTTGCATTGATTTAGTACCGGGTGCTGCTCCGATAGCCAAAGCACCGTACCAGCTAGCTCCGCCCGAGATGCAGGAGCTATCTAGGCAGCTTCAGGAGCTGCTAGACCGAGGGTTTATCCGTCTGAGTAGCTCCCCGTGGGGAGCACTGATCCTGTTTGTGAAATAGAAATATGGGTCACACAGGATGTGTATTGATTATCGGGAGCTGAACAAGTTAACGGTAAAAAACCGTTATCCTCTCCCGTGGATCGATGATTTGTTCAATCAGCTACAGGGTGCATCTTGGTTTTCCAAGATTCGTCTTCGGTCGGGTTACCATCAGATGAGGATTCAAGATGAGGATATACCGAAGATAACTTTCAAGACTCGATACGGGCACTATGAATTTGTGGTGATGCCATTCGGGCTCACCAGTGCCACAACAACATTCATGGATCTCATGAACAGGGTGTGTAGACTGATGCTGGATCGGTTAGTGATCGTTTTCATTGATGATATCCTGGTCTATTCTAAGACCAAGGAGCGAAAGGAGCAATATTTGAGGGAGATATTGAAGACACTAAGAACGGAAAGGCTATATGCCAAGTTCTCAAAGTGTAATTTCTGGTTGCGAGAGATGCAGTTTTTGGGACACATCATCAACCAAGAGGGTATTTTGGTTGACCCAGCAAAGGTTGGGGCAGTGATGTGGTGGGAAGTACCGAAGAATGCATTTGAGATCCATAGATTCTTTGGTTTAGCGGGCTATTATCGGAGAGGGGGTGGTTTGACGTACTAAAAGATTATGATTGTCAGATCTTATACCATCCAGGGAAGGTTAACGTGGTGGCCGATGCTTTGAGCTGCAAGACGGCAGGTTCCCCGATTGGGAATGTTTGTTTGAGGATGACGGTGATCTCTCCATTGTTGGACACGATCAAGGAGGCTCAGGTGGAGGGTTTTAAGAGAGAAAATTGGAAGTTAGAGCGGATACAGGGTGAGATTCCCTTGTTTTTCTGGGATGGTCGGGGTCTTTTGACTCAGTGTGGCCGAGTGTGGGTTCCGACATCTGGAGGAGTGAGACAAAAGATAATGGAGGAGACACACAAAGTCCAAGTTCTCTACACGTCATGTGGCTACAAAAATGTATAGAGACATGAGACTGAGCTACTGGTTCGTAACACCCGCAGATTCAAACTAGTTAATAATAAGCATTAAAAGTGATTTTTTTTTATCTAAGATAAATAATCTTAACCAAAGTAATAGTTATGGTCAATAATTGTAACCTATTTGATTTAATAAGAAGAATTATGTGAAAATTATATGTTTCATGATTATTATAACCTATTTGTAAAGTTACAAAACTTGCCCTCAAGTTTTGGAACATGTAAAGTCATCTAGTAAACTTTAGTTCCAATCCCTAGAATTTTAAAAGTTAAAATTTAACCCTTACATATTATAATATAATAAGTTAATAATATATATGTATAAGATCAAGGCGTTTTACCGTTAGTAGGACTCATTCACGAAGCCGGTCTATAAAGGGGGTTTAAGGTTGTTGCCTATAAAATGACAGCTTAATGGGTGTCCACTCCCACCCATCGCTTCCTTGTCTGGTGGAGGGTCGTTAGCCGAACGGGTAGGACAATAACTTAAAAATTCTCATTAAAAGTATAATGATTATTATAAAGTAACTAAATGCTTTTATAAAATCCTAATATTAGTTACTTTAGGAAAATGTGAATAAGGTGCTAACCCATGAAATTACACTTTGCACTTTGATTAAGTCATTAGTGGAGCGTGTGTGGTTAACCGACACACTAACTTGGGCTTAACAAGGCAGGCAAAAGGTGACTTAAGATTTTTCATAGGTTGGTTAAGCGCGTGTGGTTAACTGGAACATCGATTTAGTGAAAAACATTAAGGGTACCAAGTAATTTGCAAGGTTATTTCACATATTGTTTTGTGATCCTCGGCATCCCAGTCACAAAACATGAAAGGACTATCTTAATATCTAATCTAAACTTATTTTCTTCCTTTTCAAATGTCTTCCAATAATGTTGCTTCTGGCTCAAACCCTACAGGCTCCTTCTCTCTCATGAACCTTTATGGGAGAGTCATCTTTGGTTGTTCCAACTTTATGGATTGGATCCGGAACATCAGGATGGTTACTCGCTACGATGACAAGGAATATGCCCTTGATAAGGAGTTAAAGGATATTGATGAGTCCACTGCTACCCCTTAGGAGATTGCTAACTTTCGGGCTCTGAAAATTTTAATTTCTTTTTCTAGTTTCTCTTTCCATGGAATCAGCTGCACAGTAAAATGTGGCTTTGTAATCTTATACATGGAGGAAGGGCATACAGAAAAGAAACTAACGATTGGGGTTCAATGCACACATTGGAAAAAATAAAAAAAACACACACGCTCATACATAGTGAAAAACACGAAAGGGGTGTGTAAACCCATTTGAGCTGAACATCAGGAGATGTATGTGAAGCAGCTTCATGTGCGATTTCCCAATCTGGACTGTCGACTCCGGTTACAAACCCATTGATATCAATCTATATAGGATTTTGATTGGATTAACAAAAAATCAGATACGAGACTTGTATAAGAAAAAGAAAAAGAGTGTAGCCCCTTTTTGCCCTTGTTCCTAATTTCTCATCGGCGATTAAAGAAAAATTGGGGTTGCTTTGTGAAATTTTGAGCAAAGAAAGAAAAATGGGTTCGATTTCCCTGTTTTTGTGATGTGCGAGACACACACACATTGAAATTTTGAGCAGAGAAGAAATCCCAGATCATAAAAATCCCTAAACCACATTGCTTATTAGAGAGAACAAAATCATCTGATATCCAGCTCATTCTTCATTCAACGAGGGTGATAGAGATGGAAAGAGATAGGGCTTTCTTGTTGATGAAACTCGCCTCTACCGATATAGTAATAACACAGAGATCAATTTACAAGAGATGAAACAAAGGAAACCGATGGATCATGCATAAAAAAACCCTATATTCCATTACTCTGACGAATAAAGAATGTAGTGGGTTTCCGGGTTGAGGAAAACGACTAAGTCTCGACAGTTAAAAAGAGAAAGAGGAAAGATAATGGAGAAGAGATAAGAAGAGGGTTATCCGGCTCACCGCCGACGGATCTATGTCGGGTAGACATGGTGGAAGGCTGTGAGCACCAATGGTGGTCGTTTTTCTTTTGCTGACGATAGGATAAAGAGAGGTGTAGGATTTACATTTGGATTTTTGTTTGAGAGAGAGAGAGAGAGAGAGAGAGAGAGAGGGAGAGAGAGAGAGAGAGTTTATATATTAAATAGTTATATTTAGTTTTTTTCTTTCTTTAAAAAAAATAACTGAAAACATCATAAATGATCTTTGTGGTGTGAAATGACGAATATGCCATTCAGTTAACGGACAAAAATTAACGGAGTTAACAATAAGAACCAATCGTCAAAAATTTTGAAAGCACATGACACATGTACTAAACTTCAGATTTTGAAAAACCATAGACGAAAACTATTTATTAGGTTTTTTTTTTTAAAAAAATATAAGAAAAAAGCGAACCATTAACCAAACCAAGGGGAGCCAATAGACCATCGTATATCGGAGTCAAACCTCCATTAGTCGTTTCTAGCTAGGGTTTTCAATCTCATCGTCGACAATACATCTGCGAATCAAGTTCGATTCATTTTCTATCCTTCTGTTATTCAGTTCGAGCTTTGTGTCAGAATCCTTTGGGAGGCAAAAGCATGTACGGATCGAGGGGGTAAGTTCTCTCAACAATAAGTTTTATCCTTCTTTTTGTTATATGAATCAGTTTTAGCTTAGTGGCTTGCGCATATGTTAAGTTTCTTTCAATGAATATCATGGGTTTTTCCATTTCACTATCCTTGTTATCCCGGTATCTGAATCGGGGTGAATTTGATTGTTCAATTGGCGTTTCCATAGAAATGAAATTCACCATAAAAATTGAAAATCAAGGTGATAGATTTGGGGATTAATCTTGATTTTTCCATTTTTGAGTATTCATGATGACCAGATTTGGGGATTAATCTTTATGATTTCTTTCAGCATGCCACTCTTTCTCTTTCTTTTCAATTCAATTCGATCAACAAATAAAAAATGTAGATTTAACAGCGACTCTCCCTCCTGTATATCTTTTTTACCAGTTCATAAGTTTGAATTGCTGGTTGTTTCTGGTTCTTGCACTTAACAATAGAATAGAATTATAAGTTTGAATCTACAACGAACAAATTCAACATGATGGAATGATATAACGTATGAGAAATTGATATTAGAGGGTTAAACTTACGAGAATTAATAAATAAAAAAGTAGTAAAATAGGAAAAGAAACATGGGTCGGGTATGGTTTTATTAAGTGGGGAATGTTTTTTCTTTTCTCTTTGGGTATGAATAATTGAAGGGCAATGTATGGGAGCGGGGGGTTATCAGATGCATACGAAATCGGCTCAAAAAGACCAAGAATCATGGAATCCAATCCCTACTTTGCAGTTACCAGTTCCACCGCCTACAACCACCACCACCCATACAACTACACCACCACCACCTTCCACCCATCATCTTTTCCGGTGGTCCGTCTGAGAGGCCTCCCATTCAACTGCACAGACACCGACATCTTCAAGTTCTTTTCCGGCCTCGAAATCCTCGACGTGCTATTGGTCAACAAATCCGGGCGGTTTTCCGGCGAGGCCTTTGTGGTGTTCAGCCGCCCCATGCAGGCTGAGCTGGCCTTACAGAAAGACCGCCAGAACATGGGGCGGCGATATGTGGAGGTTTTTAAATGCAAGAAACAGGATTACTACAATGCGGTGGCTAGTGAGGTGAGATATGAAGGAGGCGGCGGTGGTGGTGGTGGTGGAGGTGGTGGTTATGATGATTATTATGGCCATGGAAGCTCACCACCACCACCGCCGAGGTCTTCTAAGAGGTTTCTTCAAGATAAGATGAAGGATGAAATGGAGTATACGGAGATATTGAAGTTAAGAGGGCTGCCGTTTTCTGTGAAGAAATCTGAGATTTTTGAGTTTTTTAAGGATTTTAAGGTTGTGGAAGGGAAAGTGTTTATTGCGTGTAGGCCAGATGGGAAGGCGACAGGGGAAGCTTACGTGGAGTTTGAGACAATTGAGGAAGCTAAGGAAGCTGTTATGGTGAAAGATAAGAAGATGATTGGGTCAAGATATGTCGAGTTGTTTCCTTCTACTCATGATGAAGCTAGAAGAGCTGAGTCTAGGTCAAGGCAGTAATAATTAGTGAAAAGATTGTGTTTTTTTTTTTTTTTTTTTTAGGTTTTTTTTTGATGATGTTTGTTGGATATTGATGATTTGGTTATATATTGTGGGTGTATTTTGGTAATTGGTAGATTTGTTTTAGTTATTGGGCAATGGATATTATGGTTCGCTGAAATGTTTTTGTTTTGTTATGTGTTGATGTTTTGTTTCACATGGATCGTGTGGCGTAGTGCTGTATGATGAAATTAAAACATGGTTGTGTTAAAAGTGAATGATATTGTTAAAAGTATGTAGATTTTAATAAGAAATAAAATTACAATTTTGTAAGATGCAAAGCATATAAGTGCAAAGCAAGGTTGATCGAAAGATGGACTCCTGATAAAATGTATTTATAAAAAAGTAAAAGATATCGAATCAATAAAATTTGGTTGTAAAGTTTTGTTTTTCTGGTATATGCTGTAACTTGATGTTGATTAAGATATTGAATTGATAAAATTGATTTTAATTTTTTAAAGAGTTTTCATAATAAGTAGAACGTATTTTAAATAAAAAAAGAAACCAACGTCTTTGTGATTGACTGATTGTATGCTACACAAGATCACAATGAATGCTGTATGAGGTTTCTTATGATTTGTAATGCATAATTTTGAGTTGAATACCTGAATGGATGAATATTTGATGCTCAATTTCATGCTGAATGAATATTTTTAAGTTATTTATCGGATTTTTTTAGCATAAATAAGGAACCTTGTGTAGGGTTTATAAGACTAATTATTAAAAAGCGGAATTCGCTGCTGTACGATATTTTGTATCAGAATCGGGCCCAAATGTGTGAAGTTTTTTTTTTTTTTTTTTTTTTTTTTTTAAAATTATTATTATTATTATTTCTTTTTAAAGATTTTTAAAATAAAGATCGAAATCTTAAATAACCATATCTACCCTAATAAATGAAAATGTTATTGCCACTTGTCATTCTCTAATTTATTTGGCCACATGTCATTTTGTCATAATTTTAAAATATATTTATTTTCCACTTGTCGATTACTTCATTATTAATTTCCGTTATATCATTAATTTAGTTTCCATAAATTAAACCTACTATAATAACTATTAATTTCAAATTTTAAATTTCAAATTTCAATTTCAAATAGATTTACACTTTAAACATTTGTATTTAACATTTTATTATAATAAATCGTTTAGTACACGGGTCTAACAATTAAACACATAACTTTAATTAATTTATTTTTTGCATGTTTTTATTTTATTTTATAATTTTCACTTATTTCATATTTCAAATTCAAATAAACTTTTCATTTAATCGCTCCTGTTTAACATTATGTTTTAATTAACTCGTATAATATACGGGTTTCACAACTAGTATACGAAGAATCCAATTACAACAAAATATCAATATTAATATATATTTTGTTTTTTCAAGTCTAATACATATGTCCCAACTTTAAAAAAATAAAAAATAAAATAAAAAACAAAATCTTGATATGTAATTGTAAAAAGGGGTAATTTCTAGCAATTCACTCAAAGATCGTTTGACCCGATTTTGACTGAAAATAAGAAACTGAAGTGGTCGGCCAGCGATAGCCGCCGAGAAAGAATCGCTAATGGCGGAGACGGAATCCTACCCCCCGATCGACCCAACAAACTTTGATCTCATCGTCGTCGGCACCGGCCTACCTGAATCCATCATCGCCGCCGCAGCCTCCGCAGCCGGCAAAACTGTACTCCATCTTGATCATAACCCCTTCTACGGCTCCCACTACTCTTCCCTTACTCTCCAAGACCTCACATCCTTCCTCCGCTCCCACTCCGAAATCCCTAAAACCAATCCCCCCCAATCGGATGACACCGAGACTCTCGATGTTAACCCCCGCCCCCTCTACTCTGATGTCGAGATCTCTTCTTACGATGATTCTCTCGAAGAACATTCCAGGAAGTTCAATTTGGACTTGGCAGGACCTAGGGTTTTGTTCTGTGCTGACAGCGCTGTGAACTTACTGCTCAAGTCATCTGCTAATCAGTATGTTGAGTTTAAGAATATTGATGCGAGCTACATAGGTGATGGAAATGGTAACCTAATGAATGTGCCCGATTCGAAGAGTGCTGTATTCAAGGATAAAACAATGAAGTACAGTGAGAAGAATCAGTTGAATAGTTTCTTTAAGCTGGTGCAGGGGCATCTTGAAGCTGTTAAATCTGTTGACGTTGCAGTTGATGATGAGAAGATCATTTCGGATGAAGATTTAGAAAGTCCATTTGTTGTGTTCGTGGACAAGATGAAGTTGCCTCCAAAAATAAAATCGTAATGCGTCTCTCCCTCTATCTTGCTGATCCATGACAGCATTTTCCTTAAACTATACCAAGTTAATTCGATTACTCTCTTCTCTTTCACTTTATAGGATCATCCTCTATGCCATAGCCATGGTTGATTATGATCAAGATGCTGGAGAATCCTGTAAAGATATTCTCAAGACAAAATATGGGATAGATCGTTTAGCCCTTTACCACTCATCAGTTGGAAGGTTTCTTCTCACTCTGCTTGTTGTATCATTTAATTCATCAACATATGATGTATTATTATATGGCTATTTAGGTTTCCAAATGCACTTGGAGCATTGATTTACCCCATCTATGGCCAAGGAGAATTGCCACAAGCCTTTTGCAGACGTGCTGCTGTAAAAGGGTGTCTTTATGTAATTTCTTTAATCTTTGCTCCCTGAACTTTCTTCATTCTACAGATTTTGACTCAACTTCTGTTTATATTACAGGTTTTGAGAATGCCAGTAAAATCTGTACTTCTGAACAAGGTTTCTACTTAATACAAGAATTACTCACTGTCATTATCAAGCAAAACTCAGATTGCTGATTTATATTATAACATTTGGTTGATGGGATTTGCAGGATAATGGGAATTATAAAGGTGTGAAATTGGTTTCTGGGCAGGAATTAACCAGTGATAAACTAGTAATGGATCCATCTTTTACCATAACATCTTCAAATTCTCCTTCAAATGTTTCTAAATTGGCCAGAGGAATATGCATCACAAATAGTGCTTTAAAACCTGATATATCCAGTTGTCTGGTTATATACCCTCCTAGATGTAAGATCTCTCTTCTTTTTTATTTTTGAAAATTTCAAGATTCAATCTGAATAAGATTAATTCTCTCTCTCTCTCTAGCTTTATACCCTGATCAGGCTACTTCAATCCGAGTTCTCCAACTCGGGAGCAGTTTAGCTGTTTCTCCTTCTGGGAAGTAAGTTTTTTTTTATTAAAATTTCAAGATACAATTTTATTATTTCAAGATTCAATCTTACTTCATTTTTTACCTTTTAGGTTTGTTTTCTACATTTCAGTTGTATGTGATAATGCCATTGAAGGAAAAAAGTCTCTACAAGCAGCCATTGATGACCTTTTCTCATTACACTCTGATGAAACTGAAAGTAAAGAATTGAAGCCCACTTTGCTTTGGAGTGCATTGTATATCCAAGATTTAATCGAGGTGTTTGTTTTTTTTTTCTTGTTATTTTTATATTGTTAATTGTTATGCAGTTGATTGAAGGTTTGTTTTGTTTTGATTTTAGGGTTCAGTGGGACCTGTTGTTATGACACCTACTCCAGATGGAAATTTAAACTACAATGATCTTCTTGATGCAACTTCAAAGGTATCTTCATCTTATCATTTTCAGGAAATAGGATATGAAAATTAAATAAGCCAGAAATTTTTGATTTTTTCTCACTGGGGTTGTATATTTGTGGCATATATAAATGTAACAGCTGTTTAAGAAGTTGTACCCTGATGATGAATTCTTCCCAGAGACATCAAACACAGACTCATCTGATAAACTAGAAGATGATAGTGAAGTTGTTCTAGATTCCTAGCCATGATTTTGTTTTCTTTTATGAAATGTTGAAAAAGTAGATACAAAATATAGATGTGATTTTGAGTACCTAAAGGAATGAAATGGTTTTTGTCATGTTAAATTTTATATGTTGTATTGTATGACAGTTGGTAATTTTTTTTCTTTCTTGTGGTTGGATTTATGTTCAAGTAAAAGATTTTGTAATGTTAAATTTTAAAATCTGTGGGCAAAATGTAAATCAAAATTTAATTTAATAGATAATCAATGCGATAATATAATCGTTTGGAGTAACTTTAAAACGTAAACTATAATTCTATAAAACACTATATAAAGAATAAAGAAGATAGATATACAAGGGTCAATTTGACCAAATATCCACCTTATCCAATCGTCCATTTAAAAAAAATAAAGGAAAAAACTTGATAAAGATGCATAGAGAGCGTTCTTCTAAAACGAGAGAAAAAAAATAGAAATTCAATTAAAAATATTGTTGCCGTTGCCAGGACTCGAACCTGGAGCTCCTGTTATAGGAGCTGTAAAGATAAAATCTTTCAGCTGATTGTGCTACAGCGGCATATGTTGATATTACTCATCCATAATTCTATATAACTACTAAACGTTATAAAGCGGAAACAACGTTATTCACTTTAACCAACAATCAGTAAATTGACGTTTTTTTTGGGGTACAGATGTCGTTTATTTGTTGTTCAATATCTTTTGATGAGTTGTCTTTACTCAACTGCTTGACAAATTTTGATCGTTATACTTGGATTTTTCATTTTGAAGTATAAATCCTTATCATTCATGATAAAATAATTTTAGAATGACAAATAATAATGCCGTCCAACCATTGAATTTAGGTTATATTTTTAAGGGTTAGCTATTTGAGAGTTTCTTTTATTTTTATTTTATTTTTTTAAACAGTTGGGTGCTAGGCCAAAGAAAGCAATTACAGAGTGTATATCAAACATTATTTCAAGCCAACATTGTATGTCTTAAATATATGTAGTGTTCGTTCGTATAAAAAACGAAGATGTGTTAATTCAATATGTTTTCAGAATGGGATTGGTTTTGTGGGTTTACAAGACACGCTTACGACACACGTTGATCTTTTTTAAGTCCGGAGTTTGTGGGAT